TGGTCAGTCATCCAACTCCTCTTCCTCATCATTCTTCCAAACCCATCCTTCCGACATTTCTTATAACGATGTTTTCGATTCCTTTTTTCACCACAAGATCAGGGGCTGCATCAACCAACTCCAGCCGCCTGAGGACCACCCGAAACTCCTAATTCACCTCATCCACACCCGCCATCTTTTTTCATCTGAATTTCATCTCTATATGTTTTAAATGGCGAGACAGTTTGTTCACATGTTAACTCAATTAAAAAAGCATATTAATTTCCCCATAATTTATTCATTTCATTTACCCGCAATTTATAATAACAAAATCATCATTAATCCATTTTTCATACGATACAGTCGCTTTCCAGTTATCGCGAAGTGTTCACTAACGCAAAGGCGTAGGTTCAAATCCCGTGCTGTGTCTTCCTTTTTTTTAGAAAATAAGCGGGATCAATCATCTAAACTAGTTTTGTCACGGGGCCAAACAAAGTAACTAGTACCCCAATATATTTGATAAGATAAGGCTAAAGTGCAAAACTGCATACAAACCTGCATGCAATCTGAAATGAAAAATCTTTGTTAATGGTAATCCAGCATGTAGTTTATAGTCGCGCTTCCCAATGATAATAGCTAATGAAACCAACTCGATTTGCAGCAATATGGAGAGAAAGAATGACCTCACTTTTTCTACTCCAATTGGAAACATAACAGGAAGAGTGAAACAGGCTAAAAATGGAAAAACGGTCTGTCAACTTCTGGGAATCCCCTATGTTCAAAGTCAACCGGTTGCTGAGAACAGATTTAGGAGATGTGACATATCGACGAAGCTGCCTGCAGATAGTTTTGAGGCTGTTTCATTCGGAAATGCTGCTATTCAAGTTAGTGTAAACAGTCAATAGTCTTTTCTCGAATAAGAGCAGCACCTTTTGAAAAGCTAATCTGATTAAAACTGCGTGTTTCTACCTTTGCGATTAGCAAAGGTATTGCATTGCAATGGGTAAACATTTTTGATAGAAACGTAATGGACACTTGTTCACAAGAAGGTGAAATTGCTTTGTATGATTCTTTCCCATTATAGCGCCTGGCAAGTGGTAGCCGTCCATGATGGTAAATCAGTGTGGAGGTGTAATGAAGTGTGGTTTTCGAAGAGATTGCAAATTTTATCGACCTTCTCTTAGGTCCAACAAATGAATTTTCGGAGCTCACCTTTTTGCCTCGAGTTCACAACTTTTAAAGCTTACTCACTTAAGAAGTCTAGGGTCTTCACATAAAGTTATGGCCCTAGGAAAAGTCAAATTTTCGGTTTTCTACTGTTTTTTTTTTGACAATTTCTTAAAAATTAGCCTCCCAGATCTAAAATTTTGGTTTCAGTTGAAATAATAGGCTGTGCGAAGTTTCCCTGCACCAGCGGCTACGCCCAATTTTTTTTTCAACAAAAAACTTCAATGCTTTGGTTTCTTGTCCGTTTTTCACACCAACAAGCTAGTGAGCGTAGTTCATTAATATGAACCTACTTTTTTCCAGCTTAACTCTCAGAAGAAGTAAAAGTTCTCACATGGTGAGAAGGACGTGAGACTCTCAATCTAGAGGTCGCTTGTTTGAATTCGTCGCTTAGCAAAAAGTTTTACGAGTTTGAGGTTTATTTCTACTTGTTATTTCACTTTATAGAGCTGATTTTTGGTAGATTTCTTGTTAATTTTTGCGAAGTACAGCTTTGCCTCTGCGTTGAAATTTTGTGACTTTTCTCGCGAACTACTCAGCCGAATCTGATATCAAGGGTTCAATCGAGGCAACAGGTTTAATTGAGGCCTTTGAAATTACTTTTTTTTCAATCAGCATCAGTACAACCAAGTCAAAAGTTATCAAACAGGTACCTCCAGCTTTACCTGCCCCTAGTTTCAAATAGGCTCGGTTTTACGTAGTGGTTCCCATATGTTTTGTATTGTGAGTAAATTGCTGGCTGAGTGAATAGAAGAAAAAAAAACTTTTTTTTTTCAGAGGGCACCTTCACGCCAGCTCAGTAAATTCCACAATGTGAGGACTGTCTGACTATCAATATATGGACACCAAGTTATATACGGCAAAATGATCCCATTGTCGGAGCTAACCAAAAACTTCACCCAGTTTTTCTGTTCATTCATGGGGGAGCTTTTCAGCAAGGAACAGTATCGGATGAGCCTTTCAACGGCACCAATTTATGTGCACACGAAGAAATAGTCGTAGTCACGTTTAATTACAGACTGGGAATTCTGGGGTTCCTGGATATTCCCGGAGTCGTAGAACCCAATTTGGGGATCCGAGATCAGGAAGTGGCCATCAAATGGGTCGAGTGTTACATTCAGTACTTCGGAGGCGACTCTGAAAACATTACATTGTGGTAAGTTGAAGCAGCCAAAAGCTAGTCAATTTTTCAAGTTTCTTCCATTGTTATTTTAAGGTTAACTAAGCTATGGTAATCTTATTAAAGCTCACCTTGTAAATTGCAGCGCGGGTGCTATTCTTGAGAGAAAATTCTCAATTATTTTCTGTTTCAGTGGATTCAGCGTTGGATCGGTTTCTGTGGCTTGCCATAGCTTGAATCCAAACAGTGACTTGAACTTCAATCGAGCAATTATGATGAGTGGAGGTAAAAATTGATCTACCATTTTTGAGAGTTTGTCATTCGTAGTGTATGAATGTGGTTATGGTCTAAGAAACATGCATGAGTTGTAAAGAGTTATTCATACTTAAGTTTATTTTGAAGGTTGTTAGGGTTCTGAACGCGCAGTGACTTGAACCTTGGTTTTTACTTTTTCAAACTCCTTCTTTCTTAAGCGGAACTGTGTTTTTTCTTAAGCGGAACTGCCTCTTTTGCCTTACAATTTTGTACACTTATTGGTTCCTTGAAGCAGATACATTCATATCGATTTAGTTGAAGGTCCTATTTTCGTTTTGGTTTCCTCTTACAAACTTAGCAGAATTTTGCCACACTCTATCAAAATCGTGTCGTCATTAATCAAATTTCAATTGCCGTTATTAAGAGTCGATGAACGTAGTTCAGACTTATATAGCTGCTGGCGATTTTTTTTCATTTTTCTTTCCAGGAAAAGTCTTTACTTTTCCAGGAAAGGAAAAAGTTTTTTTCGCGGCTCGACTTTTGATTGATTTCAAAGTTCATTTCATTTTCTTTGTTAAAATAAGGCAAACTCCACTATCGAGCAGCGAAAGTTAAGAAGTTGCGAAAAACGTGATAGACTTCTAGTTTCGAAAGTGGAAATTAATTATTGAGTTTTCCGGCGAAATAAAAATTTTATCTATTGTTCCAGTGTTTTTTCAAACTGGGTTAGTTTTACCAAAAATTTTTCAATCTAAAATTGTTGTAGAAAATCGATGAGCTTTAAATGAGATCTTTTTTCTTGGAAATTAAAAATCTATATATTTTTTTGAAAATCGAACAAAAAACAAGCCTTCATTTGTTTATTTGCTTTCATTGACTCTTTTCTGTCTGTTTGCTTTAAATTTTAATTTTTCAAAATTAACTGCTTCAGCTGAATGAGCTCTGATCAAACTTCATTGACCGAAAAGGATACTGCCAACTATTTTGGCTTTAAATATAATATAAGTTGGCGTCAACTACAGGGTGTTTCAGTTACATGTAATAAGTAAAACACCATTTAGTTTCACGATGAATCACCCTATGAAAAAAACATTTTTAGGGAAAATTTGCCTAAATTATAGCCATTTTGTGCCAATGCGTCAAAACTTTATTTCAACAACTTGTACACACAATTTTTTGCTGTTTAATGAGTTTTCACTCCATTTTGCGCTGAACAAGATACTATAGTGCTGAATTCAAACAACCGGATGAAATGATTCAAAACTAAATTTTCAAACTCATTTTTCTCAATTTCAGTAGTATTTGGTCAAAAAAATGATGAGAACAAAAAAATTGCTTTTTATGGTGCTATTTATGGTATAATTTTTTTCGAACTAAATTTACTTCCTTAAAATGGGTCAATTCATTTGGTTCAAAATTGAGGAGGACAGAAGGTCATTTGATAAGAGAATAATTACAATTTAGCCTGGTACCTCGTCAATTTTGAACAAAATGAGTTGACCCGTTTTGAGGGTGTAATTTTAGTTCAAAAACTTGCTAAAAAATTGCACCATAAAAAAGATGGTAAAGTCCAAACACTTGTCCCCATCATTTTTGACCAGATAATACTGAATTTGAGAAAAACGTGTTTGAAAATTCAGTTTGAGTTCGTTTTATCGGGTTGTTTTAAATCAGCAGTATAGTATCGTGTTCAGCACAAAATGCAGTGAAAATTCCGCAAAAAACGTGTGATAAAGTTGTTGAATTAAATCTTTGATTCATTGGCACAAAATGGCTATATCCTGGGCAGTTTATCCCGAAAAAGGTTTTTTCATAGGGTGATTTATCGTGAAACTAAATGGTGTGTTACTTATTACATCTATCTGAAGCACCTTGAATCAGTTTGTAGACTCTGTGTCCGGAAAGGGTTTAAAGTTCGGGCCTGTATTGGATTTTGATCTTCAGAATGTAGACCAAATTCAGAAAAAAATGAAAGTGCGAGAAAACAGGGAATGGTAAGCTTAGTACTCGACCGATTTCAAGATTGCGGAAATTACCGATGAGAGATAAAACAATAAATTCTACAAACAAAGCAGATCAAAAACAAAGTTCGAAAACAATGGTCAGTCATCCAACTCCTCTTCCTCATCATTCTTCCAAACCCATCCTTCCGACATTTCTTATAACGATGTTTTCGATTCCTTTTTTCACCACAAGATCAGGGGCTGCATCAACCAACTCCAGCCGCCTGAGGACCACCCGAAACTCCTAATTCACCTCATCCACACCCGCCATCTTTTTTCATCTGAATTTCATCTCTATATGTTTTAAATGGCGAGACAGTTTGTTCACATGTTAACTCAATTAAAAAAGCATATTAATTTCCCCATAATTTATTCATTTCATTTACCCGCAATTTATAATAACAAATACGATACAGTCGCTTTCCAGTTATCGCGAAGTGTTCACTAACGCAAAGGCGTAGGTTCAAATCCCGTGCTGTGTCTTCCTTTTTTTTAGAAAATAAGCGGGATCAATCATCTAAACTAGTTTTGTCACGGGGCCAAACAAAGTAACTAGTACCCCAATATATTTGATAAGATAAGGCTAAAGTGCAAAACTGCATACAAACCTGCATGCAATCTGAAATGAAAAATCTTTGTTAATGGTAATCCAGCATGTAGTTTATAGTCGCGCTTCCCAATGATAATAGCTAATGAAACCAACTCGATTTGCAGCAATATGGAGAGAAAGAATGACCTCACTTTTTCTACTCCAATTGGAAACATAACAGGAAGAGTGAAACAGGCTAAAAATGGAAAAACGGTCTGTCAACTTCTGGGAATCCCCTATGTTCAAAGTCAACCGGTTGCTGAGAACAGATTTAGGAGATGTGACATATCGACGAAGCTGCCTGCAGATAGTTTTGAGGCTGTTTCATTCGGAAATGCTGCTATTCAAGTTAGTGTAAACAGTCAATAGTCTTTTCTCGAATAAGAGCAGCACCTTTTGAAAAGCTAATCTGATTAAAACTGCGTGTTTCTACCTTTGCGATTAGCAAAGGTATTGCATTGCAATGGGTAAACATTTTTGATAGAAACGTAATGGACACTTGTTCACAAGAAGGTGAAATTGCTTTGTATGATTCTTTCCCATTATAGCGCCCGGCAAGTGGTAGCCGTCCATGATGGTAAATCAGTGTGGAGGTGTAATGAAGTGTGGTTTTCGAAGAGATTGCAAATTTTATCGACCTTCTCTTAGGTCCAACAAATGAATTTTCGGAGCTCACCTTTTTGCCTAGAGTTCACAACTTTTAAAGCTTACTCACTTAAGAAGTCGGGTCTTCACATAAAGTTATGGCCCTAGGAAAAGTCAAATTTTCGGTTTTCTACTGTTTTTTTTTTGACAATTTCTTAAAAATTAGCCTCCCAGATCTAAAATTTTGGTTTCAGTTGAAATAATAGGCTGTGCGAAGTTTCCCTGCACCAGCGGCTACGCCCAATTTTTTTTCAACAAAAAACTTCAATGCTTTGGTTTCTTGTCCGTTTTTCACACCAACAAGCTAGTGAGCGTAGTTCATTAATATGAACCTACTTTTTTCCAGCTTAACTCTCAGAAGAAGTAAAAGTTCTCACATGGTGAGAAGGACGTGAGACTCTCAATCTAGAGGTCGCTTGTTTGAATTCGTCGCTTAGCAAAAAGTTTTACGAGTTTGAGGTTTATTTCTACTTGTTATTTCACTTTATAGAGCTGATTTTTGGTAGATTTCTTGTTAATTTTTGCGAAGTACAGCTTTGCCTCTGCGTTGAAATTTTGTGACTTTTCTCGCGAACTACTCAGCCGAATCTGATATCAAGGGTTCAATCGAGGCAACAGGTTTAATTGAGGCCTTTGAAATTACTTTTTTTTCAATCAGCATCAGTACAACCAAGTCAAAAGTTATCAAACAGGTACCTCCAGCTTTACCTGCCCCTAGTTTCAAATAGGCTCGGTTTTACGTAGTGGTTCCCATATGTTTTGTATTGTGAGTAAATTGCTGGCTGAGTGAATAGAAGAAAAAAAAAACTTTTTTTTTCAGAGGGCACCTTCACGCCAGCTCAGTATAATTAGCCCTGAAATTCCACAATGTGAGGACTGTCTGACTATCAATATATGGACACCAAGTTATATACGGCAAAATGATCCCATTGTCGGAGCTAACCAAAAACTTCACCCAGTTTTTCTGTTCATTCATGGGGGAGCTTTTCAGCAAGGAACAGTATCGGATGAGCCTTTCAACGGCACCAATTTATGTGCACACGAAGAAATAGTCGTAGTCACGTTTAATTACAGACTGGGAATTCTGGGGTTCCTGGATATTCCCGGAGTCGTAGAACCCAATTTGGGTATCCGAGATCAGGAAGTGGCGATCAAATGGGTCGAGTGTTACATTCAGTACTTCGGAGGCGACTCTGAAAACATTACATTGTGGTAAGTTGAAGCAGCCAAAAGCTAGTCAATTTTTCAAGTTTCTTCCATTGTTATTTTAAGGTTAACTAAGCTATGGTAATCTCATTAAAGCTCACCTTGTAAATTCCAGCGCAGGTAATTTTCTGTTTCAGTGGATTCAGCGTTGGATCGGTCTCTGTGGCTTGCCATACCTTGAATCCAAACAGTGACTTGAACTTCAATCGAGCAATTATGATGAGTGGAGGTAAAAATTGATCTACCATTTTTGAGAGTTTGTCATTCGTAGTGTATGAATGTGGTTATGGTCTAAGAAACATGCGTGAGTTGTAAAGAGTTATTCATACTTAAGTTTATTTTGAAGGTTGTTAGGGTTCTGAACGCGCAGTGACTTGAACCTTGGTTTTTACTTTTTCAAGCTCCTTCTTTCTTAAGCGGAACTGTGTTTTTTCTTAAGCGGAACTGCCTCTTTTGCCTTACAATTTTGTACACTTATTGGTTCCTTGAAGCAGATACATTCATATCGATTTAGTTGAAGGTCCTATTTTCGTTTTGGTTTCCTCTTACAAACTTAGCAGAATTTTGCCACACTCTATCAAAATCGTGTCGTCATTAATCAAATTTCAATTGCCGTTATTAAGAGTCGATGAACGTAGTTCAGACTCTTATATAGCTGCTGGCGATTTTTTTTCATTTTTCTTTCCAGGAAAAGTCTTTACTTTTCCAGGAAAGGAAAAAGTTTTTTTCGCGGCTCGACTTTTGATTGATTTCAAAGTTAATTTTATTTTCTTTGTTAAAATAAGGCAAACTCCACTATCGAGCAGCGAAAGTTAAGAAGTTGCGAAAAACGTGATAGACTTCTAGTTTCGAAAGTGGAAATTAATTATTGAGTTTTCCGGCGAAATAAAAATTTTATCTATTGTTCCAGTGTTTTTTCAAACTGGGTTAGTTTTACCAAAAATTTTTCAATCTAAAATTGTTGTAAAAAATCGATGAGCTTTAAATGAGATCTTTTTTCTTGGAAATTAAAAATCTATTTTTTTTTTGAAAATCGAACAAAAAACAAGCCTTCATTTGTTTATTTGCTTTCATTGACTCTTTTCTGTCTGTTTGCTTTAAATTTTAATTTTTCAAAATTAACTGCTTCAGCTGAATGAGCTCTGATCAAACTTCATTGACCGAAAAGGATACTGCCAACTATTTTGGCTTTAAATATAATATAAGTTGGCGTCAACTACAGGGTGTTTCAGTTACATGTAATAAGTAAAACACCATTTAGTTTCACGATGAATCACCCTATGAAAAAAACATTTTTAGGGAAAATTTGCCTAAATTATAGCCATTTTGTGCCAATGCGTCAAAACTTTATTTCAACAACTTGTACACACAATTTTTTGCTGTTTAATGAGTTTTCACTCCATTTTGCGCTGAACAAGATACTATAGTGATACTATACTACTATGAAATGATTCAAAACTAAATTTTCAAACTCATTTTTCTCAATTTCAGTAGTATTTGGTCAAAAAAATGATGAGAACAAAAAAATTGCTTTTTATGGTGCTATTTATGGTATAATTTTTTTCGAACTAAATTTACTTCCTTAAAATGGGTCAATTCATTTGGTTCAAAATTGAGGAGGACAGAAGGTCATTTGATAAGAGAATAATTACAATTTAGCCTGGTACCTCGTCAATTTTGAACAAAATGAGTTGACCCGTTTTGAGGGTGTAATTTTAGTTCAAAAACTTGCTAAAAAATTGCACCATAAAAAAGATGGTAAAGTCCAAACACTTGTCCCCATCATTTTTGACCAGATAATACTGAATTTGAGAAAAACGTGTTTGAAAATTCAGTTTGAGTTCGTTTTATCGGGTTGTTTTAAATCAGCAGTATAGTATCGTGTTCAGCACAAAATGCAGTGAAAATTCCGCAAAAAACGTGTGATCAAGTTGTTGAATTAAATCTTTGATTCATTGGCACAAAATGGCTATATCCTGGGCAGTTTATCCCGAAAAAGGTTTTTTCGTAGGGTGATTTATCGTGAAACTAAATGGTGTGTTACTTATTACATCTATCTGAAGCACCTTGTATATAATGTTCAAGATCAATTAAGTCAGTTCATTGGAAAACCTTGGTTCATTTCAGCGCTGCTGGGATTTTTTGGATTTGAGAAAGACCAAAGTGTATCAACCTCTGATTCTAGAGAGTTCCTGATTCAGAATGGCTGGAAAAAATCTCACCAGAGCTCGGACCAGGAAAACGACTCAATCCGTAGTTTCCTTCAAAACCTACCTTTGGATGTTTTCAAGAATCAGTTTGTAGACTCTGTGTCCGGAAAGGGTTTAAAGTTCGGGCCTGTATTGGATTTTGATCTTCAGAATGTAGACCAAATTCAGAAAAAAATGAAAGTGCGAGAAATATTGGTGACTTCGACTCACGCAGAAGGCGAAGCGTTTCTATACAGCCTTTTGGGTCGCGAAACTTGCAACAAACTGAACAAAAATGATGATAAACTCTACACGAACATAATAACCCAAATGTTTAGCAGATTCTTACCTGAAAATTCTCGAAGGGCTGAGAACTACGTGAAAATTTGCAATTTTTACAGAAACAAGAAAGTTTGTTTTGGCAATGTAGAAGATACACTGTTCCATAAATGTGCTTTAGCGATTGGAAATTACTTGAACGATTACCCTGTCCTTAAATCTATTCAATTTTATCTCAAATTAGAATGTGAGGCTCGCCCGAAAATTTACTTCAAGCTGCATGATTATGTACAAAGTGATCATAAAACGAGATATTTTGACACTGATATTGTTCCTGAATACTTGAATTGCAGCCATGGATTTGAAATTCCTCTTCTATTTAATAATTTGAACGATGGCCATTCCGATACGGATCAAGAAGTAAGCGTGAAAACAATGAATTTGATTGGATCGGTATGCAGATTTGATAATATATCGTCGAACGAACGTGAAAAACTGTTTGGTCAGCAGGTGAAACTGAACACTGGAAATCTTAACCCGGAAATTGAGATGAAAAACTTAAGTGTTTCTAAAAGCTTAGAAATTACAACACGTGATGACTTATTTCATAGCAGATTACATGGAATTGATTACAACAGGTTGTATTCAGACATTTTGGATTTTTGGGATGGAATCGATCAGATTTCTTATCAAACTCTATGTTAAATTATTATAAGTAAGTTAGCAAAATATGAAATTACACAGCAATGTTAAAGTTGGTTTATATAATTGACTACTGTTGCTCATTAAATATTTCGGAATTAATTCTTTCGAAGTTGATTTATTCACTTAGTATTTTGAAATCAAAGTAATTCTGCAGAAGTCAAGAGTATGTATTTGTTTAAAAGCCAAGGAAATTCAAAAGCCTAAGTTCGATTTATAGGTTCTAATTTCATAAATAGGAAATTATAGCCGAATGGAAAATAGCGAATTTTGATGCGGTTTTTTGTGTAAATTTTGTGAGAATCTTTTTTTTGAAGACCATACCTCACAAGCTATCTAAAGTACAAAATGATACGTTTTGCAAAAGGCATCCCTCAATCCAATTTGGAACGATTTTTATGACGCATTAAATCTCAGCTTATGCAATCTTTCAAACACAATAATTTTACAAAAGTTGATTCTAGCTGAAATATCTTTTTAGATTTGAGCTCTATGGAAATTTCTCCGGATATCCAGTGGAATAAAAACTTTACCTATTGATCCAGATTTCTCAAGTTGGGTTAATATTATCAAAAAAGCGCCTGTCATTAATCGTTCTGGAAATTCAAAGGGCTGAAAGGCATCTTATTTTTTTTTAAATTTCGAAAGTTGAGATTTTTCCAACAAAGTCTGTGTTTTTTATTATGTTTACTTGCGTTCATTACTCTTTTCAATTTTTTGATTGGCTATGTTTTCAAGATTACCAGTGAAGTAAAAATAACGATTTATTGATCGGGTTTTCTCAAATTGGACAAATTTTATCTCAAAAGCGTTAATAATAAAAAATAAAAAGAAATTCAAGGTTTGTAAGGCTGTTATATGGATTTGGTGAATGACAAGCCGACGAGTCTAATCTAGACAATGAACTGAATTGAATCACACGAGAAAGTAAAACAAACTAACGAGTGAAACAAATATAAAGATTGCAGTTAGGCGGATTTTTGAAAACGTGAACGCAATTTGGCGCGAAAAGTAGATATGTAGGCGGGGGCAATTCTCATGATAGAGGGACCGAATGATGGAAAAATCAGAATCGTTAATTTTTTTGGTATTTCTTTGATATTTTTGAATACTCAATTCTGATTGGCTGAAATAAATCTTCCATCATTCTGTCTCTCCATCATAAGGGCGCCAGCTATATAGACAGAAAAAACGTGTCTTAAAATTTATTTATTTAATTTTCTGACTTTAATGACAAATTAAAGTCACCCTCTAGATTAGGCCCGTCTGTTTGGCATTTAACATGGTACTCAAAATAGAAACAGATCGTAGGAATCCATCAAAACGATACAACTGTTAAAGAAAATGAACACTTTAATTGCAAAATGATAATTAGTATTATTAAGCAAGTGATAATTAGTATTATTAGTATTAAGCTAGTGATAATTGGTATTATTAGTATTATTAATCATCACACAACTTTTCTTGGTTATATATTTATTTACAATATAATAAAATAATGGTTAGAATTTAAGCATCAAATAAAAGTAGATATATAGGCGGTTACTATTCTCATGATAGAGGGACCGAATGATGGAAAAATCAGAATCGTTAATTTTTTTGGTATTTCTTTGATTTTTTTGAATACTCAATTCTGATTGGCTGAAATAAATCTTCGATCATTCGGTCCCTCCATCATAAGGGGCGCCAGCTATATAGACAGAAAAAACATGTCTTAAAATTTATTTTTTCTAAATTTTCTCACCTAAATGACAATTTAAAGACACCTTCTGGATTAGGCCCGTCTGTTTGGCATTTAACATGGTACTCAAAATTGAAACAGATCGTAGGAGTCCATCAAAACGATACAACTGTTTAAGAAAATGAACACTTTAATTGCAAAATGATGATTAATGTTATTAATCAAATATAAGTCACACAACTTTTCTTGGTTGTATATTTATTTAAATTATAATGAAATAAAGGTTAGAATTTAAGCATCAAATAAATTTAAATAGTTTCCATGTTGTTTTTCCATAGGTTGCCATAGAAGGATCTTCACAAAAAATAGATAGAAAATGTTCCTTAAACTTAAGTTTCATAGTCTTGTAAGTTAAAAAATTGCTGCTGTTTTTGTTTGATTTTGCTTTTTGGAATTGGTTCCCAATAACAGCTGCTTTACTGAAAGAAAAAAAAAGAATTTTCGATATAATTACTGCTGAATCTTGCTTGAAAGTGTAGTTTTTTAGTTCTTTTGTTCTCATCAATTGTGTTGTTTACGTACTTGATTTTTGTGTATGCCGGTAGTAGTTTATGTTTGACTTTCTATAGTTGTCAAATTTTTTTTCCAATCCAGAAACAAGGAAACTGGAAGTACCTTGTACTCCAGCTTGAGATCTGATGAAGAATCAATTTTTTTTCTGTCACAGCAATTCTTTATTGCCCAACTCAGTTGATTATGAAGCGATATTATTATATTGGATGTTAAACTGCTTAATAATTAGTTTTACTGCGTATTGCAGATGGCTTATGGCTAAAACGTTCTTTAAAAGTAATCGGTTTTTAATTGTCAGTGTTTTATCGATTGTAATGATCCCGCAAGCCTTTTTTCTTAATAACTTGTGGCTTTTTTTCTATTTTGTTCTCATCTAAGATTATAAGAGACTTTGAATTGTAATTTCTCCCTTGATGTTTGTTGCTAAATATTATCAACTCAGTTTTCTTGTATTGAAAATTATAGAATGTTTTGTGAAGTACAGAGACAATTTCTGACAGGATTTTTGCAAAAGCTGTAGCCCATTTTTGATGTCATTATCATCACAAAATAGAAGTGTATCATCTGCATATTGTACCACTTTGCAAGTTTTGGTTAAATTTTTGTTCAAGTCATTTATGTATAGTTTGAAAATTAGGGGTCTCAAAATTGTACCTTGAGGTACGCCTTAGTGAAGTGAGATCTAATTGGATTCAGTTTTGTTTACTGCAGTTTTTTTTGTTATCTACTGTTCATAAAGCTATGAATCATTTCAATTGCTGACTCAGAGAATCCCAAATCATTCAATTTTAGTCTTTAAATGTTCGTGGTTGATAGAATCGTAAGCTTTTGTTAAATCTAATATAGATACGGCAATGTATTTGTTTTCATCCTTTGATTTGCGGAAGAACTCTGTGCAATAAAGGATGGCGTCCATCGTTGAATATGAGGTTCTTAAACAAAATTGGGTGTTGTTCAGCATGTTAAGAGATAATAAGTATTCATTGATTTGTTGGTATAGTAGTTTCTCAAAAAATTGAGAGAGTGCAGCTTTTATGGAGATTGGTCTATAGTTCTACTATTTCTGGGTCATCTTTTTTGTTTATTGGGCTAACAATAGCTTTTTTGAGTCTAGTTGGGAATAATTTGTACTTGATAAATTAATCTGTAAGAAAAGTAAGGTGTCGATATATTTCATTGCGTCCATCGTTCAGAGCCCAGGCTGGAAGATCAGAAGGTCCGGGTAGTTTATTTGCGTTTAAATTTGTTATTTCTTTTTTTACACTCATTTTCAATGACAAGCCGGAAACAAAACCTTTGTTTGCGTTCCTTTTTGGTCCTTGTTTTTGATGGTTTTTGAATCAACAACGTTTTTTTTATCTTTTTCCTCAAAAAAAAACATCCGAGTTTAGAAAACTTGTAATTCAAAAATTTTGCCATTTTGATTTTGTGTGTTATTGCTTAACTAAATATATTTTCAGAGTGTGATTTTGTTTATTGATTGTTCGAGTTTCTTGTGTCATTTATTATGTTCCATTTCTATCGCTCAGTTGTTTTATGATCAAATAATTTCGACATGAAACTATCGTCTTTGAGGTTGATTTTTAGTTTGTCATTACGAATGTAGACTGTTTAAAGGGGTGCCTATCTTTTCAGGCAGTACACTACATTGGAAATTAAAATTTTAAACATTTGTTTTTGAGGGCTATTTTGCCTGTAGAAAGACTACCAATTAAGTGTTTCTAAAAGCTTAGAAATTACAACACGAGATGACTTATTTCATAGCAGATTACATGGAATTTATTACAACAGGTTGTATTCAGACATTTTGGATTTTTGGGATGGAATCGATCAGATTTCTTATCAAACTCTATGTTAAATTATTATAAGTAAAATAGCAAAATATGAAATAATACACAGCAATGTTAAAGTTCGTTTATATAATTGACTACTGTTGCTCATTAAATATTTCGGAATTAATTCTTTCGAAGTTGATTTATTCACTTAGTATTTTGAAATCAAAGTAATTCTGCAGAAGTCAAGAGTATGTATTTGTTTAAAAGCCAAGGAAATTCAAAAGCCTAAGTTCGATTTATAGGTTCTAATTTCATAAATAGGAAATTATAGCCGAATGGAAAATAGCGAATTTTGATGCGGTTTTTTGTGTAAATTTTGTGAGAATCTTTTTTTTGAAGACCATACCTCACAAGCTATCTAAAGTACAAAATGATACGTTTTGCAAAAGGCATCCCTCAATCCAATTTGGAACGATTTTTATGACGCATTAAATCTCAGCTTATGCAATCTTTCAAACACAATAATTTTACAAAAGTTGATTCTAGCTGAAATATCTTTTTAGATTTGAGCTCTATGGAAATTTCTCCGGATATCCAGTGGAATAAAAACTTTACCTATTGATCCAGATTTCTCAAGTTGGGTTAATATTATCAAAAAAGCGCCTGTCATTAATCGTTCTGGAAATTCAAAGGGCTGAAAGGCATCTTATTTTTTTTTAAATTTCGAAAGTTGAGATTTTTCCAACAAAGTCTGTGTTTTTTATTATGTTTACTTGCGTTCATTACTCTTTTCAATTTTTTGATTGGCTATGTTTTCAAGATTACCAGTGAAGTAAAAATAACGATTTATTGATCGGGTTTTCTCAAATTGGACAAATTTTATCTCAAAAGCGTTAATAATAAAAAATAAAAAGAAATTCAAGGTTTGTAAGGCTGTTATATGGATTTGGTGAATGACAAGCCGACGAGTCTAATCTAGACAATGAACTGAATTGAATCACACGAGAAAGTAAAACAAACTAACGAGTGAAACAAA